AGACTGTTAATCAACATGACGACATTGAAATACTAAAAAAATTTCGTGGAAAAATTTGGGAAAAAGGATATAATTAGGGAGTGATAAATGGCTATTGCACCAGGACAATGTACCTGTTCACACGGCCCTGTCTGTCTAAGCAGTATGGTGCTGTAGGTTAATAATTCCGATTTGGATTTCAGGGGGGTAACAATTAACATCTTATAGAGAAATTAAAAAAGGATTTATGAAAAGATCAGCATTTTTTTATCATCTTGAAAATCATCCAACCTAGCACTGAGAGAATCATTCAAAATGAATATTAAATTTTTAAATATATTATAGCTCGAAGCTAGTTACTGCATTACTGTGAATCGTGTTAATCTATTTTCTTCAAAATAGAGACAAAAGATGCAAAAGTTTGTTTACGAAAAGGTATCTAACCAACTAAGGTGGGAAGAATACATCTTTTCCCCTGTATTCTTAAATTGAAATTATTTAAATGTTCTATAATATAGGTAAGAAAATCTTAATTCCATATATCCAGTCTTCATTCTTGAGTAGCAACCACTCACTGATCAGTTCATTAATTTCCTCCAGATTTTTTAAAATGCACTCCCTCAAATTCAAAAATCTCGCGCGAGTGCAGTTCCTTTTGGAAGCATGCGCAATCAACAATTAAGGAGTATTTTTTACATAATAAATTTTTCATTGTAATTCAATTAATTATATTTAAAATAAATTCCGAGGTTTTTTTTGTTGTCATTTTCATAAGATTTAAAAATAATTGTTATTTTTTAAATATATTTTCAAATTTTCCCAAAAGTCTTCGCGTGCTACTATTACAATTCCGCCGTGCCACACTGTGGCACACGTGCCGCGGGTTGGCCACTCCTGGTTTAATGGTTTCTCAATCCCTACTGCGTTCGGATCCCCGGGAACCTCAACGATCAGCGAGATCTCCTCCTAAACCAACACAAGGAGGAGGTACCGAGAGAAATAAACAACATTCGTATCTCGCTCATCATATTCTTTTCCTTCGCAGAATTTGTCTTTTAATTTTATTAGAAAAAATACATGAAAGCTTGTGTTTTTGTCCTCTTATTTATTTCCGACAATACAAATTAGTAAGAAAATATAATACAAATGATTCACCAAGGATGTTTTTTAAATAACATAAACGCAAGTAGACGCAAAGACGTACATAAACCACGGTTATGAGAGGGGCTTACATTTTAAAGAACTAGTTGAGGTAATAAAGCCCCAAGACGTAATCTTTTGCTAAAAATTAAAAATCTCTTAGTTTTCGGGAGGTATGAACATCAAACCCTACCCTTATGTGCGCCACTGGTATTAGAATTTTCGTTAAGTTATAATCACAACACACACACATTTGTTAAATGTTATTTTTGATCCATAACGTTGATGTATGACAGAATGTATTACACACGATTGCTAAATCTAATCATCTATGTGTTATTTGATTGCATCTGTGGCGGTGTTATCTATATAAGCCAGTAAAAGCCTTTGGACTGAAGATATCATTTTGGTCTAGCGGTATGCTACGTGCTTACGGAACGGAAGGTACCGAGATCGAATCTCTTTCATTGGAGACCTTCCATTTTGGTGAACGAAGAAAGTTGCAACCTTCACGCAGCTGTCGTGCCGCCATCTTCCACGGCAAATTCAACAAATCCGTCAAACCCAAAAATGACGCAACCAACAAGCCTTAAAAAACCAAATGATGTAACAGCAACAACTTACACGCTCGCCATAATAGCGATATCGTTCATTCGCCTACCGACTCACTGGTAGGGGAGTGTGTAGCGGTGGTATCTATATAAGCCAGTAATAGCCTCCTGACTGAAGTGATCATTTTGGTCTAGCGGTATGTTACGTGCTTACGGAACGGAAGGTATCGAGATCGAATCTCCTTCAAATCCTTCTCTGTAAGGTTGTTAATTTTAATAATAATATTTTCTGTGTATGAGCTTAAGTACATTAATTTTTATAAAAATAGTCGCATAAAATGGCTCATATAGTTATTCAATGTTTGTTCAACACGTAGTAGCCATCTTGTTTGCTGTAACAATACCAAACATGTTGGCTATAGACCATGCAATTTCGAATGACAATCCAGTGATAAAAACGACACCTGGGTCGTGTTTCTTACTTCATGAACTTACACATCATGTCGCACAATAAATGCAAAGGTTAGTTCAATTTCATGCGACCTTTGCACGGAGGGCTTTTGGTGGAATCTGATCTAAACTAGCCTCGACCAAGGTGGCTACAGGTCTGACTCCTTTCTTTCTCGTTGTAGACATAGTAATTAATGAATGTTCTTTGTGTTCTACTCAAAATTCTCACTCAGCGTTGATTAATCTGTGTGGTGCGTGAGTCTAGGTTAATAATAAGTAAAGTTAGAATTTAATTACTGACTTGGCTAAAAGAGCAGAATTTTAGAGTGCCGTATCTCGTGTTTTATTCAACAATTTGTTAACTTTCTTGACCTTTCTTCTTAACGTTTAAAATTTAATTATTCATCAAGGTTTATATATGGGGAAATTCTAATAGAATTCAGAAGTTTTGAATAGAATAATAATAGCGAATTAAATTTGTATAACATTAGCTAAAGAATGTATTAAACATAATTCACAAAACGTCCCTCAGCATTAATTAGATTAAACTACAGTTTCACAGAAGCAAAATAGTTACTTAAAAGACAGAGATGAGAGATTTATGATTGTTCATAAACTACAACAGAAAGTTCCTGGAATTCGTAATTTATCGAATTAAATTTCCTGTGTATTTTAATTAGTATCTCGTTCTAATTTTATAATAAATCAGTCTAAGTACTCTTCATCCCTCTCTTACTTTTAAAATAAATTTTTATAAAAAATATTGTTACGAATTTTGTGTAAAGGATTTTTAAAATAGTGTAAATAATTGATACCCGGATGTGTAATATGTTATATTACTCTATGTTGTATTTATTTTATGTTAAAATTGTAATATTCCCAAGCAACGCCGTTCCTTACTTTATAGTGGCGATTCTCTCTCAATGGAAACTTGGCGGAATCTTGGCGATAGAACCAAGTTGGCATCACTTTTGGTGACAATGTTGGCAACCATTCTTAGCGAGTTTGTGACCCTACGGATTCTTCCGGAAAAATTAGTTGAGAAATCTACTAATGTTACGATCTATGATGCGAGCAGATTTTTCTCGAAATATCCTTGAAGCGTCGCTCGCCGAAACTTAGTTAGTCTTGTTTAGACCATTAATGAGTAGTATTGATTTGACGGTGTGTTGTATTGGACGAGCGGGTGTTGTGAATAATCTTTTACATACTTGTATTTTAGATACTGATAGTTGTGTCTGAGCACCGTAGAAGGTGTGAAGGCTTTCTGAGATTTACTCAGCGAAGTTTTTTCTATTGATTTGCTCCCTTGTACAGTATCTTTGCTTGTCATAATTTCTGTGCAATTTACTTTCATTTGGAAAATGAGCAGGAAAAAATTCGTATATGGTACGTTATCGTCGACCTATGCTTCATGGCCTGAATAAAAAACTCGCTGAGTAATAAACATATATATTCAGACATTCCATAGAGTGAATGCGAATATTATGAACTATTCGGGACACTGTTGCTGATAATAACTGAAGGATTTGTGTAACGTTTTTTTTTCTTTTAGAATAAAACTCCATTCAAAATACCTAAAAAATTAAAAGATTTAAGATTTTTTTTTTTTTTTTTTTTTTGCCTGTTTAACGGAAAACGTTTAAAAATTTCCGCTTTTCCTGAACTACGTTTTTTCCGAGATTCACGGGTCCGTATAGAACCCGACCTCCTTACTTTAAAAAACGTTAAAAAGATCCTTGGCTTTTTTACGAAAATTAATTAAAGCTAGTATATCAACACTTTTTAAGTATTCATGTAGTTATTTCAGATTATTATGATTGCAATCTAGGATTTTGATTTTCACATAAATGAGAAACACTCTCCGAATTTATTTATCACTGTGGTGTAGTGTAGAATTTTGGTGAGTGGAATGCCAGCTGAAGAGTAGACTTCGTCATTTGACTGGGATTTAAAACTACGAGACCCATCTCCAGTAGCCCTTGTGTAGTTTAAAAATGCGACGCTGATAAACAAAAATTCCTAAAATTAAATCATTCTTTCAAATGGGTTGCATTTTGGCTGCTAAGTCTTTGCATGCACGACAAATCCTTAAGAGTGAGAGACATTTCATTGGCTCCGTCTCAACCAAATTTTTGACACTTGAATTTTTTTATTCAAGTTCTCATCAGATGATGGTAAATATTACTGTGATTTGATTCAGCTAAGAGTACCAAAGGCAAAATCATACTCGAAAAAGATCTTTTACATGCCATATAATCATATGTCATGTTTACTTATTATTTTCGCATCCAGAAATCTATCAACTCCAGACGGGATCGAATCTGCAATCTTAGGTTTACGAAGCGGGCAAGCTACCTCTAAGTTACCGAGACGACAAAAATCAAACAGAACCTTAATTATTCAGTCAAACATTTCATTGTTTTCTGTGTCTAAATCAGGGGCGGACAGACTTTTCCAGGGTACGGGCTACTTCTAGATTTTTTCGGTCCACCCGGTGACGTAAGTGTTATGAGCAAAGTAAAAGGTCTACAATATGTATTATAACATAAAAAAAATACGGAATATGTACTTACCTACATAAAAGCAAGCAATATGTAATAAAAAAATTAAGTCAATTCCTACTTAGGTCAACAAAGAAAAATTTATTTTAGTTATTTTTTAGTAAATAGTTACGATTAATATAATTATGTATATACATATGACAGAATCACAATATTAAGTGACAAAATGGAAAGCTATTTTCCTTGCAATTTTCCATTTTTCTTTCTATATTTGGTGTAGTACTATTTTTTTTTGTTACTATTTATTCATTGATTGAATTTAATTATTCTAATAATATAGTATAGTAAAAAAAAATTCAAAGTGTTAAAAGTAAGCCATCCCAGGTGGGAATCGAACCCAAGCCCTTTGGATAAGAAGTCCAACGCGCTATCCAATGCACTACAGGAACATAACGAACGAATTTCCTTTATATATGTGCTGTTGGCTATTATTTTTGTTTGTTACTATTTATTCATTTTTTAATTTAATGGATTAATATTTGAAAAAACTGTATTAACATCAAGTGTCATCCACTACAAGTTTAAAAAAATGTATTTGGTCTTGAATGACTGAACAGAAAGTATTTTATTAACTATTGAAAATTTGAACAATATATATATATATATATATATATATATAGGGAAAGAGTGAACTAATAGGTAGGAATTGAAAAAGCAACAATAAAAAAAAATTACATTTTTAAGACCACGTTTAAAGCAAAATGTAAGATACAAGCATAATAAAAATAACCACAAATATAATATCAAATGATGCATTTGTTACGAAACAATTTAAAATATATCAAAAATAAAACATTTTCATCTTAAGTTAGGGCTTATACTTATAATCAATAGAAGACTTGTCTTGACAATCTTGAATATTTCGGTCTACTACTAATCTTCAGGTGGTCACCTCAAAATGTCTTGGCGTTCCACCGGTCAACCGCGATCGACTTAATGTTCACTACTGGTCTAAATAAATAAGATATCTTTGAAATCTTTACGGCATGGTGCTGTGCAAAAAAGAACAGTGATATTTTAAACAAAATCTATGCATACCATAAATTTAATTTCCTATTCATTAATATTACCCTAGAGATATCAATGAAAAAGAAAGATAAATAATTTATTTCACACCGCCGCTGCTGAAAAATAGCTGTCGTTTGTAACACCTTAAGAAAAGGAGTAAATAATTACTTTGTTTTAAAGAGACCAAACACTGTGATTTAAGAGGCCGCTACTTTAAAAAAAAGAGTAATTTAATGCACTTAGAACTTTATTTTTTAGCTTTTCCCCGTTGTTTATCTTGTATGTATGCTACAAAATAGTTGCATAAAATTTACGATCAAGAGTTTCAACTTTTTTTCCCCTGGAAGCCACTCAAAGTAGCCGATGTGCGTCAATATTCTGCGAAAAAGCCAATTAAAAGTTACTGCTAAATTAATGCATTTTTTGTTTTTATATTCATTACCCCTAATGATGCAAAAATAATCACAATGAATCCGTCCATTCTTTTTTTTTTATTAATCATTTTCTTAGCCTTACTTAACAAGCACCTGATGGATACTTCGAAGAAAATCCATTCTTGTTTTAAGCAAGAGATAAATTTTTTCCCTTCTATTCGTCTTTGCTCTTTAACACGCATTATAAAATTCATTTACTTCACGTACATTATCTATACTCGAAGGAGCATAAAAACTATTACTGTTTTTCAAGATTAAACTCTTAAGGCTCCATGTTTCGTTGTTTTTGTGTGATTAATTTCTGTATATTATTTCGAATTAATTATGGGTTCTACATTAATGAAATATGACAATTACGTAAAAGAATGTATTAAATTTTTTTAGAAATGTCAGCTTTAAGAATGTAATTCTACGGGGGCTGTTTTTTAAGTAAGGTCCGTTTGTTTTTTAAAAAATAACAACAATATTTTGTTTTAAAAAATCTTCATTTTAGGATTGTACATAATTTTACCTATTTTTCTACATAGTGCCGAGTTTATTAATGCACTTGTCATACCTTAGAATTAAACTTTGAAAATCCTCTTCAAAGAAGTCTACCGCCTGGTCGGACACAGCTAAGAGCTCACGGCCGCTTTCACTTCTTAACGGCGTGGCATGCTGTCAAAAGGTGTTTTGCTCCTCCACGATAACGCAAGGCTTCACGCTTCTCGAATGACTCGGGACGTATTCGAATCTTTTGGCTGGGAGATTTAGGACCATGTACCATACAGCCCCGACCCTGCTCCTCTAACGATTTCCACCTTTTCCGGTACCTCAAACACAGTCTTGGTGGAAAGCGATTCAGTGACAACCAAGAAGTGAAAGCGGCTGTGAACTCTTGGCTGCCCGACCAGGCGGCAGACTTCTTTGAAGAGGATTTTCAAAACTTAGTTCTAAGGTATGACATGTGCATTAATAAACTCGGAAACTATTTAGAAAAATAGGCAAAAGTATCCTAAAATAAAAGTTTTTTGAAACAAAATGTTTTTTTTTAAACAAGCGGACCTTTCTTAAAAAATAGCTCTCGCAGTTCAACTAGTTCTTTGTGTTGTATGTTTTTTTAAGTGACTAATTTGAAAGCGAAATTATACTGAATTCTCTTACAAGAACAATTCTTTTAAGTTTCTTGTTAAAAATCAGAGAAATGTGTTCTGTTTCTTAAGAATACAAAAAGTTTTAAAAAAAATTTTAATTTCCTTAAGGTACGTTCAGAGCGTGGCTTTGAAAAAGCGTATAAATGAATATATTTTTTCTTGATATTTAGTATTACCTGAATTAGAATTTATATGTAAAATTGTTTTAAGGATATTATTAAATTGAGCTCAGTGGCGTAACAGCCCATAGAGGGCCAAGGCCTGCTGTGACCGTCTAAGTTTTCGTGACCTTGGGCGCTGAGGTGTATGAGCAGTTGTTCCGGTCAGGTGGTCAGTTTGATGTGAAAACCCCCAATGTTAAGTTCCTAAGCAAGCTTGGTACTCATTTATCGACCCACTGAAGAGATAAAAGGCTGAGTCGACCTTGCCCAGACCGAGGTTTGAGCCCCGGATCGTGGCGTGTAAGCGCAATATGCTACTGCTCGGCACTGGGTGGTCTAAGAATAGTATTACGAGAAAAAATTACTTTAATACAATTTTTTGGCAAAAGAAGAAAGAATGACCGATTTTCAAAACATTCTTCTTTTATGAAAAATTTCTATAATAATAATATTTTGCCTATATATAGCTTAAACTTCCATACAGAGCCTGAACTGGGATTTTTGAGATATATTATTTAGAAGTGGATTTATGAATATTTTAATGCATCACACAGAATAGAGAAATTTTAACAAACAAAACATCGGTTATTATTTTAATGGGTTGCAACTCTGAAAATAATGTGAATTTTTCAAAAATCCTAGTTCAAGCTCTGTAGAAAAGTTGTATCTGTACATAAGCAAAAGCTATTATAGAAGCATTGTTCATAAATGGTGAATGTTTTGAAAATATGTATATCTTTCTTAATTTTTTGCTAAAAAATTTATAGTAGTAATATTCTTAAGATAATTTTACATGTTTATTGTAATTCAGGTGACATTAAATATAAAAAAAAATTTCATTTATACATTTTCTCAAAATTATGGTTCCGAACGTAGTCGGATACCTTAAAAACAGCAAAATAAATAAATTATTTGTAGAAGAATGGAGCATTGGAAGAGTTACTAGGTTTTATGTTGCAAGAGAGATAAAAAAAAATGTAATGACAATATTCGATCAAATTTTTTGCTTTTATGATTTAGCTTCGATTAAATCTTGGTTTTGCTTGGTGTTATGCATTGCTTAGCCCTAAAAATATTTTCCCTCAAGTGTATGAAGTAGATTACTGCAACCTTATAGATAAAGTTATCATTCAGATTAGTGCTTTCTAATTTTTTATACCTATATTTTCTTCAGTGAATTATAACATTTTCCTTTTTGAATCTTATTTTGTTTTTGCCATATCTTTACATGGTGAAATTTTGATTTTCTGTGGTTTTAAAGAGGAAGATAAAAATTTTAAAACTTGACATTTGAAGTACTTATTAATAAACATGCATAAATTTTTTATTAACTATTTTATTATAACTATTTTTATTTTATCTTTTTTTATCATCATAACATTACTTTAAATCAGTTATTAACTTGCTCTCAAAGTGAATAGTGTCATATCTTTAAAATTATTGACTTTTTCAGTATGAATGAATGATTAAAATTGGGTATCATTAAAAAAAAGAAAGAATTACTGACCTTCTATAAGATTTCATTCCGTCTTCGAAAATCAGTTTTTCTAGGAGCACCTAAGTTGCCTCATATTTGTGAAATGAAGCTTACGCTTCCAGGTTTTCAACCTAGAAAACCGTATTAATTAAGAGGGGTTTCTCGTTAGGAACCCTCTAATATTAGAACATATTTTCCAGCGCGAGCTCGGATTTGAGACTGTATTTATCATCTTCCTGTTTGGAACATTAAATTTTCTAAGTGATGTGAAACAGCTTGAAGGATCCAATTAAACGTACTGGCATATAAATATTTTTAAACTTAGTTAAAAGTGTGCAAAATTATCAGTGCACATTATTAGTTTAAACAGCTGGTAAAAATAAAACTTTCTCTGTACTATACTTTTAATATTGTATCTTACATGTCGATATTACTAATTATGTATAATGTACGTGGTGTGAAGTAAGTGAGTAAAAAAATGAGTTGAGAACCAATGTTTTAAATAATAAAAGGGTACAAATGTTCTCTCTCTTTGAAATCACTATCAATGCATTTCATAAAACGACTAAGAGAGATTCCTGTGTTCACTAATTAAAATTACATTAAAAAAATGTGTTACTTTATGTATTTTTCGATAAAACATTACCTGAGAGAAATGTTTCATTACTATATTTTTAAAAACTACATTCATTACTTTTAAAAGCAGACATGAATGGTTACAGACTACTCTCACGTTTTTTACAATACACATCATTGAGATTGTGGATAAATCAGAGGTCTTCAGTGTAGAGTGAGTGAGTGAATATTAACGTCGCACTATTCAACTCGTGACGTTTGAGATAAATAAAGGTAGCGTGATATTGGCTAATTTAAATGTTAAGTTTCATTACGTCACAGTTATTATTTACAGATTTACATTGAAGTTATTAACTTCGTAATTAGATTATTAGAGTCCAAGTTCTGTTTTTTTGTGAAGGAGGAGTTTTTTTGCGTTCCTTCTCCGCGAAGTTTTCAGACTATCTTTCGTTCTCTCCCTCTCTCTGGGGTCGACCAAGACCGGAGTCTTTCGCTTCGAGTTACATCCGGTTTGCGGGCGGAGGAGATCCCTCGTGGTGCCAAAGGTTCCCGGAGCAATGTCCAAGACAAGAACGCACAATATTTTTAAGGGTGCAGATG